GTTACACAATTAAAAACATTTTATTTAGGCTTATCTATGGCCTTCAAAAAGTTGACGACTCTACATGTTTCGAGATAGGCCTAAGTAAAATGTTTTTAATTGTGTACCAGTTTAACGTTGAATATTATTTATGATTTTAACACATGTACTACTTGCCCCCCAGTAGCAAGTCTGCGAACTTACGATGCAAGAATCCGGGTTTACATACCCGTAGTGGGCAGAGCACAGATAGCCCATTATGTTGCTTTGTGCTTAACTTCAAATTACTCTATACTAATTGAATAAGTAGAGTTGTTTAAACATTTGTTTAACAACAAGTAAAAGCTTGGAATGGTCTATTCTTTCATTGGGGTGTGTGTCTTGTTAGTCAGACTAGTTTCGGAGAATTCTACTCCTCATCAGTGACTCTGGACACTACCACCAATGAAATATCAAACCAAACCAAGCCTACAAAGGCTTAAACACACCAGTTCGATTTTCGATACCTTCTACTACAAACCACTATAATCTCAAAGAAGCTGATTTACACAATAATTTAAATAAAAATCTAAAGAGTTTTATATGCTTTCTTTAACACACTTTAAAATATTCAACAATTTTATCTAAAAAAAATTTTTGCAGTTACTTCCAAATTACAATCGCAACTTACCCTATTTTTTTTTAACAAGGTATGTAAGTTAACAATAAGCACACAGGAAAGTGTAAGTACTTCTGCTGAAACCAAACTTTATTGCTATCAAAACTATTCTGCAAGAGAGCAAATTACATAATAAATAAATACAGTGGTTAAGTCACGAGTAAAAGTTACGGTGATCAGAACTAATTATTAGTACAATTTGTACATGTGACAACTAATAAGTTTAATCAACCAAACATTTTTTCTTTTTCAATTATCACAAAGATTTAAATGGTGTGAAAATGATACAGTCATATAATATTAATTTCAATTACAGGTTGCCTTCTTAACTTGCACTATAAACTCTCAGTATTGCATGTAAATACAACACAAATTTATACAAAAAAAACTAAAGTTACCACATTTAAAACTGCTCCACACAAACACACAACAAAATTACCTGTTTACATAACTTTTTATGAGCCTACTACTACACAGTGTTTTACTTACAGATACATATACCTGATTTCTATCGATGGACAAAGTAACACATATACACAAATTGGTACTTTTGTAAGCACTACAACTTACATCCTTTTTTTTTTGTTTCTTTTGTACCGATTGATCCTTGGCAGATTAGAGGGGTCAGATTACATTAACTGGTGTGGTATACAAAATGAAGAATATGTTAATACCCTCATGTAGTAATCTAAATTATTTTTAGAAAATTGTTTTCAATGGCTATAAGAGAATCTAATTTCAATTTGATGAGTTGTATGATTAACTAAATGGGTTACAGTGGTTGACTTTTGAGTTTGGCAACTTTATTTTTGTCATAGTATGTAAAAACTGATTACAACAATGTTCACCATAATATCCATGTTCAATATATAAATTTCTTGATTTATAAAAGACAAAAAAGATGACCCACATGTGCATACTGAGTTTTATTTTGACCATTTTCCAAGAAAACTTTCATGCACACCTTGGCTTTACCATTCATAGAAAATATGAAATCCCTTCTATGTATACTTGTATCTGTTTTCCTGAAACTGATAATAACTTTTCTTTTTCATTAACAACTTAAGAACTGAGCCACAAAGGTAATACATTACATATCAAAATAACATATTGTTTGAATCTGGTATTTATAATTAACAAACAACTGAACAACAACAAACAAAACTTCCCAATTATTATTGAGAATTTTCAGATTACATATTACAGAGACATATATATACATATCCATTGACCTGAAGAGAAACTAACAGTGTAAGTTAATGATTCAGGAAGTTGTGCATCAAGTAAACAGACTTGTTTATTTGTTGAATTTTGCATAAAGCTACTCGAAAGCTATCTACTTTAGCCATCCTTGATTTTGAAGTGATACACTAGAGGGAAGGCAGCTAGTCAACACCACCCACTACCCACTCTTGTCAGACTGAATAGTGGGACTTGACTGCACTCTTATAACACACTCACAGTGCCAAGGTGTAGAGCCTGCTTTTTTTTTATGATATGGAAAGAGTCAAGGAACCTCAGCTACACAGTCTGGCACACCAACCACTGAGCCATGTTTAGTGCATCAAACATGGAACATACACAAATTTAGTACTTTAAAGTGAAAAATAAACAACCAAAACGAATAATCTTGATCTTTATAATAAATATGGCAATGCTCTCCATTTCTAGCTTATCTTATTAACATAAATACTGACATAACGATATATATAATAATATATTCACTTGTCAAAAGCACAGTTACTATTCCTTTAACACTTCCTTAAATTTACCATAACAAATCTAACTACACACGTTTTATCCTAAAAGAGTTTTTAATCCAAGAAAGTAAAGAGCCCACCTCCACAGAATACAAAGAATATATTCATATTTGAAAGTGGGAACTTTAAAATGGACTTACAGACATTGCATATCCAAGGCCTAGCTAGGCATACATACATATACCCATGCATAAAATTGAAAATTCAAGATTTGAATTTCCTTTGATATAAAATCTTAATCCGATTGTTTTCTCTCAATGAAAAAATGCCAGTTATTAAAATGTAAAGTTTTACAACTCTCTATGTCTCCTGTATGGTTAATTCTTTTATAAATTGTATGTATGTAAAAAATTTCATTAGAATACATCATTTCAGGTGTAAATTCCAAAACCTTTCCTAAGAGGATCCCCCTGGATCCCCACTTGTAGGAGGGGAGCATCCTCTCCCCCTATGCATATGCCTCACTATACCCTACTTGTTAATCTACAAATCCAGAAATAAAGTGTGTAACATAGTGGCAAAACTGCAATGTTGTTTTATATTCTCCTCTTACCCTATTTCATAGTCCATACATCGTTTTACAAATTTAATGTTAAATATATTCAATGAGATATATATTTACAGTGGTCTCCACTTATTTAGATTAGACTTTACAACCTGCATGGCTCCTTGGCACATTTGAGCTAAATGACTACAATAGAGACCCCAAGAGCTCAGATATAGCTATCCCTAAGTTTTAATTACTGACCAGAGAGAGGTAAACCAGGCCAGTCAACAGCACCCATCACTACACTGGCTTTACCTGGCTCTTTGAACTGAATGCTGGGAGTGAGTGTCATATTTATAACACATCTACAGCTAAAAGTACAGAATGTGTTTAGCAGCATCACATCTCAAACTTTGGACGGACAAATCTTTCTGTAACTTGGAATGTTAACCATTAAGATATGCTTAGCCCATTTATAAAATACTACTACTAATACAATCCTTTTATGAACTTAAAAACTTTAACAATGTGTACTGGAAAATTTTTGTGTGTACGTCATTACTATTCATGACTAACTGAAAATAAAAGGCTAAAATTCCCAATGTCAAATACTCATCTTAATCCATTACTTACCATAAGAATGTACTTAGTACACCTTCTATTTCTATTCCCCATGACCATATGGGCATACTTTGATAAGGACTTTTCACACTGAATCTGATGTTAAATGGTTTGGTGGGCCTTTCTTCCATGAAATATAAATCGATTAATCAAATATATAATATTTTTTTATATTTCATGAAATTCAGTATTTTCCATTTCTTGGGAAGATGAAATGTCTGGTCACAAAACTCTAATATTAATAACTGATGTACAACTATTAGTTCATTCTAGTTTATTGACTATTATCTTACTGATAACAAAAAATGATGCTCTCAGGTTTTATACTGGTGATTGTGATAATGAATAATCTATAACCATGTTTCATATATATATTTTAAACTCGCAATCACCATATTATCATAACCCATACTTATTTGTTTATACTATGAACCAAGTCCATATGATTTGATGCATTTTACATATTTGTAGATCATTCTAATGTTCTTTTCCACTATGGTAAAAAATAACACCACAAAGAATTTCATGCATATCAACAAATGCTTACACATAATTTATTCCTACAATCAGTGCATGAAAACAAAAACAGCAGCACTGAAAATACATAAAAGATATGTGACTTACTTTGCAAATGCATGTGCTTGTTCTGTTTGTTTGAAGTGCAAAGTCCTGATATAAAATGTAATGAAATAAGGAACATCAACAGAGTTTAATATCAAAGTGACTAGTGGATACCAAATATTCAACAAACTAGATGATAATGTTCACTGTTGCACACACTGGACAGAATACTAAGCTACACATGGTTTAAAGTTAAAACAAGTTAACACATCTTTGTTCTTATGTGATATTCCAATGTAAAACATGCATTTTCTAACTTTTTGTGGAGACAGAACTCGTATACTGATTCAAAATTGTGTGACTGGAAAACAAGAAAGTAATATACACAACATGCAAAGTATTAAATATAAAAAAAGTAAAATGTCTAATTTCTAAATATCTGTTGTGATTTTGAGAAGAAAAAAGAGGTAACAAATGAATGTTCATTCTCTCTTTTGCTTTTAAAGCCAGAAACAAGGAGTGTAGTCAGTGAATTTTCAACTTGTTAAAGTTGTTTTTATCACATACATTACATTTAAATCTTTCCAACCTGGTTGTTTGTTTTAAGCATGGTACAATGTAGTTACTGGACTAAACTGTTCAAATTCACTGTGCTTCAATCGATGCTGCAACATTGCATGTTTCCGTGTAAACACTTTCCCACAAATGTTACAGGCAAAGTTTCGATGACTTGTATGCTGGTAGTGGAAATGGGTTCTTTCTGATTCATATGATTTGAATGGTTTCTTGCATACAGGACATATGAATGGGGCATTTCTATTTCCCTGGTGCATACGTCTGTTCTGCAATGTATCTAGAAATAGAAGAAGATGGTAGTGAACATGAAACTTAACTTATGCAAAGAACTAGAGGAAAAATATTCATTAAAAGAAAAGAAAAGGCTTGATGGAAAAAAAAATAATAAAGTTAACATGTTACAATAACTTCCTTTCGCAAATACATCGTGTTTATGTGTCAAAATTATTTACTATTATAAACAAAATATAATCACTTAAACTTATATTTTACAAATAATGCAAATTAAACTTTCAATAGTTTTTTATTTAAAGACAAAAATGTTGAATGAACAAATTTTCTAAATTATTGTTATATTTACATGTTAAACACTACACAACAGTCCACACACACAAAATTAACTTTCTTAATTTCCTTCCACAAAGTATAAAATGTCTTTGGCAAATGTTTAAGTTCAGAATATAAACTTTATTGCTTGTTTTTTGTTTTTTTGGCACAACTAAGACAAATCTGTAGAAACATTGCAGAATTGTTATGTAATGTATACATGTCTTACAGATTACAAGGCACATTTGACGAGTGTATGATCTCACAATGACACATTGTAAGTAAGAACAAAATTTAATATTTCACACATCTCAGTTTGAACAGGAGTACATCCATATCCCACTACATGCTACCCCAGAATGTTGTAATGGTAAAACATGTAAGATTCCTCACAAGCTTTATTTCTTCACAGGATTAGGATTTTCTAAACGAAAATATAACCATCCCTCTATCTAATAAAAGTAAGAAACATCTCTCATTCAATGTTTCTCAATTATTCCATCAAACATGTAATCATGTAAAGATAAAAACTGTTTCAAGTTTCTATTTCAGTGCAAAAATAAAATCAAGTGTATTGATGAGAGTAAGAAAAACACCTGAAGAAACATACATCATTCGCTACATTCTTCATTTTTGATTAATTTGTAAATTATGCATAAGAAAATTGTCTTAAATCTAACAAAACTCAGGTTTTACATAATGAATTTAGACACAAAATCATTCCACTTACAGAACATATTCAATTAATCCATTTAAAACTGTGTGGACAGATATGAGATTATTCTAAAAATACACTGCAGTTCTTGATAATAAAAAAAATTGGTAGATTTTGCTTCAACTTTTCTAATAATAGCTTATTAATTTGCATGTTTACATAATTCAGCTGCTTGAGATATCCTCCGAAGTACAGCTTATTTTATAACTGGCAAGCTGTGACTAAGAATCAATTCAAAGTATTAATGAAAATGTTTTAACTATTCTTAGCCTGATTGTATATACCTGATCTTTTTCTTTTAATCATGTAAACAGAAGATTATTTGTAGTGAGTAAGTTTCTTAAGTACATAAAAATTTTGAACTACAGGAGGAATAATTTTAATAGACAAGTGTGTTCTACAGTATAGCTTCTTTATGCTGAGTATGGAACTGAATAAATGTTATATTGTGAGATTAATTCTGATCCAAAGAAAAACTCAGGGTGTGAAACAACTAATTAACTGAAACACAAAGCATGTCATATAAACTTTTTTGAAATAAATCATTAAACCTCATGGCTCAAGAATATTAAAAAAAAAAAAAATTGCAAAACATGAATCTTAGTAACTAGACACAGTGAATGAGTTATTTGGTTTCTGATCTATTTTCCACTTATGAGGACCATTCAAGCCTTATGTAATAACCTATCACCTGCTGAAAAGCCTTTATTTTTTATTCATTTATTTAAACACAGTTATGCAAGTTTAACCTAAAATAATAACAACAGGAAAAGTTTAAATTGGTATTACATGAATACAGTTACCCATTTGTAAATGCAAGTATTTCACAAACAAAACGTCACTAAGGACTATTGGAATTCTACATAACATCAAATATGATTTTAAAAAAATGACAAGCAT